CGCAGCAAATTTATGGTAAACCCCCTTAGAAATCTTCGTAAAACGGCATTCCTAATTCCCCAAAGAACCTGCAAGATCGCCAAATTGCCCGCTTCTCAAGGAATCTCTCAAGGAATCTCTGCTAGCTTGCCTGTAGCTTACCACCACCAGGAACTTTCATTTCGTCTTCGTCCATACGTGCGGAAATGTTAATCCAGTCCGGCACCCCGATAAGAATAAAGTTCTCGAGGTTACGGTATCCAGATTAGAAGCCATAGTTTGCATATATATGGCCCATGTTTGGGTCAGAATCCAGAAAAACTGGCGCTGAGGTCAAAAAGGCTTCTGCTGCGTATATCACTGCTTTTCTCTCGCTCACTCTCACTCTTTCCAAGAATTTCTGATCCTTTACTTCTTCATCCCATTCCGTTCCGATACTATTTCCATATGGGGTTGATCACATGTTCTTTCTTTTATTAGTGGATCCCTCTGCTCCTGAATAATGAAGAGAATCTCCACGATTAGAGGCGTCGCCTCTCCTTTCCCCAGCTGGGCCTCAAAGATCTTGAAAATATCCGCTTTTTCTCAGGTTTTCTTGGCTGACTATAGCATCTCAAGCTACCGTAGCTAAGACTTAGACCCTCAAAACTCTCCTCTAGCTCTCTCCCTGCCCGTCTCTCGCTCTCTCTCACTCCCTTGTGTTCATTTTTCTCAAACGATCTCTGCTGGCTACCCTCATTTTCCGCAATTTTTACGCAGACCCCTAGGTCAAAAAATCTATTCCTAGCCCTCTCCCACGCCTCAAAAAGGAGACGCCCCCCCTGGCCTTGTCATCAAATTTTCAGCATTTCCAAGAAACGGGCCATTGTATTCGCAAAGAGTCAAGAACAGAGACTGGGGGTTGTTGCTTTTTAGAAAACCTGGCTGACCCGCCCACCTTTTTGACGTCTAGTTTTGAAGGGTTTTAAAGAGGAGGTAATAATCTCTGCTAGTGTGCTAGTGCCGACAAAATTCCGCCAAGGTCGCTGCTAGCCTGCCCTTTCTATGCCTAGTCAAGACGTTTTTACGAATATTTTTAAACCGAATTTTCCACACGACCCCCTAAACAGCAACCTTTTTGGTCCTGTTGGGCAATACGCTCGGGACCTAATTTCGAACGCCTTTCACAGGAAAGACGTGTCCAGTCGTTTTTTTTGTGGCACCTGCCTTGTTGACAGGTTGACAGACAGGGTGCCGAGAAATTAGAATCCCCCTGAGATGGGGGCGAATCTAGGAAAATAGGGGGCTCTGAACTTGCCACGGATAACCGGCGAATAACAACGCTGATCCCGCGCTACACAGACTACAGGACAGGACATGATTTTCCCAAAATATTCGGCGAATCGGTGCCCGAGGTAAGGGTTGTTAAAGGGGCTGGGAAGGCACGGTAGTGGGTCTTTAGGGTACTTAAAGTGCACGTTCAGGCACGTTGAACGTATATTGCCTATTGACACCTGCGTCTCCTTCTTTTCCCAGTCTCTCGGCGTCAATAGGCAATATACGTTCAATATCAATATACGTCCCTGAACGTGCGCTTTAAGGCTTTCTCTCTATCTTCCTGGACTCTCTCGATTTCACTCTCTCGTCCTGTATCTCTTACTCTCATGCTCTCGCTGTCTCACTGTCTCGCACTCTTTCTCTCTTTCTCTTTGCCTCTTTCTCACTTGCTCTCCCTCTCGCTCTCACCCCCCTTCACTCTCTCTTGCTCTCGCTCTCCCGCTCTCTCTCTCTCTTTCTCTCTCTCTATCTCCCGCTCACTCTCTCTATCTCCGGCTCACTCTCTCTCTCTCTCTCTCTATCTCTCTCTCTCTTTCTCTCTCTGTCACTGTCGATTTATCGCTCTCTCACTCTATTTCTTACGCTTTTTTTCCAGCCGTCTAACAGGGTTTCTTACGGAATTACCTTTTACCGAAGCCGGCAAGCTAGCAGTGATGATTTAGGAATTTTCGAGACTTCCGGGAGGCCTCAAAAACCTGCCGGAAACGAGCAAAGACCTCGGGAATTACCTCCCCCCTAAAAATTGCCCTCCAGAAGAAACACGTCAAAGGTCCCGGCCGGTTGCAAAGAAGCCTTTTTTGGGCCCAACGACCGAACAACCGGAACCCCGGGAAATTGGCCTGCATGGTGGCCTTTTGGCTTTTTCTTTGCAAATTTCCGCTTTCCACTGCGTTCTTTGTTAAAATTTGCTCTAAAAATGGGTTATTAAATAAATTAATAAATCGTAAAATACTTTTTAAAAGCAAACTAAACTAATTTGATTAGAATTTTTAATGAGTTAAGACCATGGTATTGCTTATATACAATTTGAAACAAATTAAGCAATTAAGAAAAAATGCTAGGATTTTTACAAAATATTCAAGAAAGATTTATCTAACCAGAATTAAAGCGAGCTTTTGCGAAATTCTTAAAGTTTACTTAAAGGGGCTCAGAAGTCAAAATTCGTGCGTGCGGGGATTGAACCTAGGGGTGAAAACACGAAAGCGTCACTGCCGAGAAGTGCCAAAATAGTGATTTGATTGCGAAAAAACGTAAAATGTTTGAGAAAAACCGAATTGTTTGTGGGGCGAAAACGACATTTTGAGTGGGCGGCGATTACATGTCGTAATGCCTTGTAAGGCACCCAATCTCTCGATCTTGGTGATTCTCTAATCAATTTTCATAATTTAAAAGTCTGGAATGATCAAAATTCGTTGCGGATTCCAAAAATAGTATCAGAATTTTTAAATTCAAGCGTTTTCGCGTCCAAACAGAGGCAAAAGATTATGCGGAGCGGTCGGGTTGCGGCCGCATCTGGCTATTTGCCAGGAATCACAGCAGGGGGCCGTGGACCAGATTTCGGAGCCCCTTTAAGCGTATTCAAATCTTTTACCCAGATAACCTGCTTTCTGCCTGCAAAATGCTCCAAAAAATTACAGTTACAAAAATTACTTTTTCTGGCATTTCCGAGAACCAACTTTTTTCCGTAGATCCCATTAATAAATTCGCCGAGGGAATACAAATTACGGGGCGCGAAAGCAAAATTAGGGCCTGAATTCCGGGGGTAATTGCACCCAGAATTGTTCGGAAAAATATTTTCTTGTAATTTTCAGAATTTTTACAATTTTGTAGGCCCCTAAAAAATTCAAAAACGTTCCCAAGACAATCCGCGAATCTGCCCAATTCTGTCCGAAAAACCCCGATTTTATCTAAAAATTTGAAAATAAATCCATTACATTTTTTCTTTTGCAGCTACCATGAATTCGGGATGACGCTCGACGACCCATCCGCCGACCCGTCGTCCATCGACTCGGCCCTCTTCTTTGGTGAGTTCATCCAGGCTTTTTATTGCGTAATCGATTACGACACGAAAATGTGAAGTTAGGTTTCCTAGTCTCTTATCTAGGACCATGGCGTACTATACTGTGCCGTACGCTACCGTATTTTCCAGTGCTCGGCGCCTTCATTCTGAACGTGATCGTGGTCATGCTGGCCGTCTGCTACTTCGACCCCTCCTCTACGCAACCGCCACTTGTCCATAGGTTTGTCGCTCGCGTAGTGACCGTAATTTTAGTGGAAACCCCAAAATCCGAACAGAACAAGATCTCACTCCCGAAATCCCGACCGCCAAAATCCCGGCATGTTAAAATCCCGACAGCCGAAATAGCTCGTTAAAAGAAGTTGCATTCAAGTTGGCGTCAAGAATCTGTCGGGCTTTTGGCTGTCGGGATTTTAGCTGTTGGCCTTTTTTGTCGGTATTTTAGTCTGTCGGGATCATGCCTATCTGGCTCATTTGGGAATTTGAAAAACCTTAAATTACGAAAAAAAACCATTTTCAGGTGGTTCGCCACAATCAAGCGATCCTGTCTACCTTCAAAGCTAAATTCTGAAACCGCCGTATTATTTGTGTAACCAATACACCCCTGAATACTGTACTTGATACCGCACCCCTCCACCCCTCAACCCAGTGCCTTTCCTGCCCTAATCGTTTGCACCGTAGCTCGGCCTCCATTCTCCCCACACCCCCCCGTTAATTCACTTTCCCCGCAACAACATATCAGGCCGTTGGCCACTTTAATCAGTTTTGTGCTTAAGTTGCATAATGCCCATAATTTGCTGAAATTGATTCAATGTGCGTATGTGATAAATTTATTGGATTTATTTGGTCCAGAAAAACCACGGGAGCATCAGTAGGCAACAGTTGTAGCAAAGGAAAGAAAGCAGAAAAAAAGAGCAAAAGGCTGGTTGGATAGAGAGAAGGTCAGAAAAGAGAGCGAGAGAGAGCGAGCATGCGAGCGAGATAGAGAGAAAGACCTAGATAGACAGTCTGAATAAATTATTTCGATCATGGCATGGCCTCTCGCCTCTCAAGGCCTCTCGTAATTTGAATCCGGTAAAGTAGCATATGAGGTGCGATTTTCGGATCTATCTCCAGTTTAGCAGCGTAGATTCTGGACGGTCAGACTCTGGGCTTTATCTTTCGAAAATTTTTGAGCCATGCTGTTCGTCTACCTGCTCGTCTTCGTCCTCTACACCGGCGGACTGAACGCCGCAAACACGACAATGACTGCAGCGATGTGTAATAAGGATTCCCCCGACTGCGAAGGTATCCTTGCGAGGAGGCAGTTATTCGGCCTCAGACTGTGTGAAGAAGTGGACGTTGTGCCCGGGAAAAGACGGCGTCCTCCTCTGCACCCTGAAGCAGTTTCTCGTCGATCCCGAATCAGGAGCTTGCGATTTCAGAGGCACGTGGTCAGCTTCCGTCTCCCTTTTAGCTGCGGGAAAGCCGCAGCGGTTCTACTGTTCCTTTCCCAATAAGCCTTCCCTCGCCTTTCCCCCATGCCCTCGCGTCCCCCAACCCCCGCTAATGAACGAGAACCGAACAATCGTCTTTTGATAGATAGCTCCTGACGTTCCTTCCCATGTCCCCAATGTTTCCAGGTTGTCCCGTGGGCGAGCTACCGAGTCTTGTCGGCGACAAACGCAATTGCCTCCCGCGCAATCGCATGACTAACGGTACTCTGCCATATGGTTGGTGGTGGGACGGTAAGTACTACGTTTTATTGGCAGGCTGCAGATACCCGCCCCTTCCAACACCAACTTTTGTATCTCTCGTCCCTGGCGGTCTACGGGTGTGCAAAATAAACGAAAATGTTCGTCTTGCTCTGGCGAGTATTTTGAGATACTTTAAAGCCCTGGAGCGCCGCGGGGACCCGATATACTGTCGGGGGAGGGCCGGCTTGGGGCGGTATTTGATGTCGTTACGCGTCTCCCGCGTCACTTACATCTCGCGAATACAGGCTGCATCTATGATTACTACATCAACTGCGGCAACTACGTGCCAATTTGCCTCAACGCCGCTGTGATCACGGCATACAACGCGAGCGCGGGAGGCTGCATCAAAAAAGGTGGGTGGCACTGATTTTTCTGTTCGTGAGACTGGAGGGAATCGACGCGGAACTTGCCAAGGCTTTAACAGCGCGCCACAATTTTTAGGCTGCCCGCCTACGATGCACCCGTGCAAAGGAGAAAACGGAACGGAATGCCTCTCCTACGACGACCTGAAGTCGGTCCGTTACAAGAAAGGAGGAGACATATGTGTCCTTGCCACAGCCGAGGAGAAGGCTGCTGCGAGGCCCACCCCTCCGCCGGCTGCCCAGGAAAAAACCGAACCGGAAGGTAACGTGTGGCCATGTCGTAGTATTCTATTCCCTTTTATCAGTATCGTCCTCATCCCGGTTCCGGCATCTCGTGAACTCCGTCTTCATCCTCCTCATCACGAAGCCGTCGGCCGATTTTTAAGATATACCCTTCGCCCGATTTTTATAATAAATTCTTTACTTGCCGTGCACGAATCCTACTATATATAAAAATCCCCTGAAATCCTCCTGAAATCCCATACATTTCCAACCATTTCACAGACAGGTGCCGAAAATGGCCGCCTTCTTTTTGGACGCGTCGAGCGGATTTCGACAAAATATATGGGATTTCAGGAAAAGCTCTAAAATGTGCCAGATTTCAGCGTCATATATCTCGGCGATCTTCTGTCCAATTTTGATGATCTCAACATCTATCGATATCTACAGGGTGTCCCAATAAAAAAACACCCCCTCTAACTCGACGCGAAAATATCGGATCGGAATGGTAGTTACACCATTCATTGAAACGGCCCTTCAAACGGCGAATTTGCAACAATTTTCAAAACCATGTTTTTATGTCAAGGCGATATTTTTCAAGGTTGCATGCGAGCTAATTTGCCTCAATTTCCGCAAGCAAAATGACCGGAAGTAGCCGTTAATTAGATGCAGAGGTCGTTCTGAAATCGCGCGTTTCAATAAAAACATGATCATCTTGAGCCTCTATCTTGGCCGTTCTTGATTTTGAGGGCCTAGGAGCATCGTCCGGAAACGGCCCAGCCTGAGAGCTACAGAATGACATATTGCACGTCCAGAAAGGAGCTATCTACGTTTTAGCCGGCCTTCCAAAATCTCGGCGGCAGGACGTTCGTTCCAACCTGATATGACAGCTTGCCCTTTGCGCCTTTTTGGACTTTCAATTCCCAAAGCCTTGAGATTTTATCTATAAAACAGATGAAACCTGATCATCCTGGGAAATCGGAAGGCCATGCACTAAATAGTCGCGTTTCTCAAGGCTCAAAGCATTGCGGCTGATGCCATATGACGGGAGGTCAGAGACACTCACGAACGAGAAGCAAAAGGTGGAAACCCTGAATTTGCATGAATCATGAAATCATGCCAAATTAAGAATTTGCATGTGGTAGTCTAATCTCATAATTAGAATGCGTTTGCCCGTCCTTTGAATGTATTTCTTATCTAAAAGGGCGCGTTTCGTCGGTTAAAAGCATTTTGATCTGCCCGCTCCCGCAGCGCTCTTCAGCGGCCAGCTTCAGGTTGGTCGCTACCTGCTTCCTCAATGTTTGCATGTGAAAACCGTATGCAAATGGCAGCATCCAACCCTTGTTTGACGATGCCAGCCGTTTCAGAGACATGCCCGGAGTGGCCCCAATCTACCTGCTCACCTGCGTGCTGGCCCTCGGGATGTGGACGTGCGGCCTCGTCGCCCAGAACTCTTCGGCATCTACGGGATGCCGTCCAGACGAGAAAGTTTGCCCTGGGAAGGATGGCCGGCCAATCTGCGTGATGGAGGAAGTGCTGGCCAACTTCAATGCCACGAGCTGTCAAGTCAAAGGTATTTCGTTTCAGAATGAGAGTCATATTAAACCTAGACCGTTATCTAAACCAGACTTACCAGTAATTCTTTCAGGTTGCCCGATGGGCCGCGCCAAGGTTGCGATCGCAGATGGCTCCTACTGCGTCTCCTTCCAAATGCTCAGTGAGGGCCATCTCCCCAGCAGTTGGACATTTTCTGGTTGGGACGAATGAGATGAAATAATCGTTTCTGCTTAGGCTGCCAGAAGCCGGGTACCGTGGACTGCGGAACGCGCGAAGCGCCGCTCTGTGTGCCGGCCGAGGAGATCAAGAGCTACAACGAAACGACGAGGATCTGCACATTGACTGGTATTTAACGCAGTTGCCAGACCGCCGCTTTTCAGCTTGCAACGAAGAACCCTCCAACTTCCCCTGCAAGCAACCCAACGGCGACTCGTTGTGCACCTTCTTCTCCTACATCAAGACTATCCACGACAACGGCACATGCGAGCCGTCGGCTGAATCTAAAGGTAATCCGCTTTCAGGTACGATACGTTCCTCTTCCCAGTATGCCCGGCCGCCCACGTCAACTGCGGCAAGTACGACCCGATCTGCATCCAGATGTACACGCCGCGATTTCGCGCCGCCGACCTGCGCTACTTCAACGACCGCACGAGGGAGTGCCACGATGATCGTGGGTCTCGTTTTCGATCCATAAAAACATCGATCTATTTCCAGGTTGCCCCATCGGCCACCATCCATGTTCCATCCGCGAGAAGGGCGACAAGAAAATCTGCATGCCCTATTGGCATATCAAGTCCGTCGGCGACCACGACAGCTGCCAGCTCATCAACCCCAACGAGTTACCAAGTAAGCACTAAGCCTAAGCCTGGGTCAAGCCTAGGCTTAAGCCTAAGCCTAAGCCAATGCCAAGCCTAAGCTAAGCCGAAGCCAAGCCAAGCCAAACTTCCGAGGGAACATTCGAAGCTCTCGATTTCAGACCTGAAGCCGGCGAAGGAGTGTGCGGGGCTGAAGAACACGCTGGCCTGTTGGGCGGCTAACGACGACTACACGTGCATCGGCTTCGAGCGGATCAACTCGATGACCGTTGACAAGCAGAACAAGACCATCTGCACGTTTGCAAGTGGGATAAAGTGTGAAACTCCAAATTCTGACGATTCCAGAATGCACCGGAGAAGACGCCCTCCTGTGCAGCGCCGAGTGCCAATCCATCCACGAGGTCAAGAGGGTGCTGCCGGGGGGAGAGTGCGAATGTACGGTAGATAGGGAGGTCGATGGAGAGAGAGGGAGAGAGAGAGAGAGAGAGAGAGAGAGAGAGAGAGAGGATGAGAGAGAGGTATCCATTTTTCAGTTCGCACCCTCCGTCGTGGGCAGATCATCATGATCATCTCGTGCTCAATCATCGGAACCGTGGCCCTGATCGCTGTTGTGGCTTTGCGTGGGTATTTCTAGTTTTCAGGGCCAACTAGCAGAGATTCTTGAGGAAAATGCGCTTTTTCACCACTTTACAATCCCTTTAGTCACCCGCGTCGTCATCCTCCAGAGAAACCGGAACAAGCCAATCGAGCACCGCCCATCCAGCATGGAGGGCAAGCACCAGGATGGTGGGACTTTTTTCGGAGCTTGTGCATTATCGGGGGGAAGAAGCTTATTTTTTCTAGACCACGGCTTTTTACAGGTGACAGCAACGAGAAGCGCCCGTTCCTGCCATCCAAGAACCCGAAGGCGTTCAACGAGAAGCCCCAAGTCTAGAAGAAGGGCCACCTCGAATGATCGTCTACTCTGCACCCGCCTGCCCTACAGATGCATCCATCCATCCACACATCTATCTATCCATCAATCCATCCATTTACTTGCAATCACTGATCAAAAATTAGGTTTCAACACTAAATACCCGCTAACCGGAATTGTTTTGATCAATTGTGTGTTGTGCTTGTGATTGGAGATGGTACGTGTGTGATTTTTCGAGGCGAATAAAGTGTGTTCCTGACTTGGCTTTTGCTGCTACAACTTGCGCATCGGAAGAATCGGGCATCCGCGAGTGGAGTTTTGTGCGTAATTTGCACGATGCCTGAATTTGCTGAAATTGATTCAATTCGCGTATGTGATAAATTTATTGGATTAGTTTGGTCTAAAAAAAATCACGGGAGCACCGGTAGGGAATATGTGGGTGGTTGGATGAGAGAGAGAGCGAGAGAGAAAGAGAGAAAGAGAGAGAGAGGGAGAGAGAGAGAAAGACAAAGATAGACAGGGTAAACAAAAATTGGAACAAATATTCCATGCAATTTCTGAAGTAATAGAGAAGTTCTCTGGTCAGTTTCCAGTCATTCTAATTCTGTAAAAATACGTCAGTTAGCAGAGGCTGTTTAGGAAGCAAATCGTCCAAAAATTGCGCTAGCCGAATTCGTTCCCAGAGCCACCCAATGATTCATGCGGGCTGCCGAGGGAGGCGGGAGATACACGTGAAGCGCCCGGCCAGCATGGCGAGAACATGGGAAAGCGCGCTTGCACGTGGCCCACGTGGCTATAGCGGAGGGCCCATGCGCCCCATGTGAAGCCACGTTTTCACGTGAACGCGCGCGATATGGACGGTCAATAGGTCTCGATTTTGCACATGGGAAACTGAAGCTCGGAAGTTTGGGTTTTTGACGTTTTTGTGCCCCTTTGGAATGACTAAAAATTCAGATCGAGAGCGAGAGAGAAAGAGAGAGAGAGACGAGAATTACGGAGAGAGCTATGAGAAAGATGTTAGAGTGAGAGAGCTAGAGAGAGAGCGAGAGAGAGAGAGAGAGAGAGAGAGAGAGAGAGAGAGAGAGAGGGAGAGCGTCGAGACGAGACGGACAACGCCAGATTCAGACAGCCGTATGCGCTAATGTTATACTATTCCGCGACTCGGGATCAAAAGCGGCCAACGGCGCCAGGAGGTCGTCATCTCCATAGTGCTGGTGATGATGTTGTTGGTGTATGGAGTGGATATATCTAGGCTGCACCCAGCCCTCACCCAGCCATTCCTCATCTTGATGCCCAACGTAGAGGCCGGAGCGCGGGGATTCTAAAAATTGTGTGGGTGTTAAGATGCACCAATGCTATATCCTTAAGCTTAAACTTCGTGCCTTAATGATAAGCCTCTTCTACAGGAGTTTCGGCCGTTTTCTGCCAGTATTCCGCGACGATGCTAGTTTACAGCAGGTCTTTAACAAAAACCCGTGCTAGCTCGCCCTGTCTCACCTTTTTGCATCCGGAAATCGTGCATCGATTTGTCGTAGCCATCGTCAACCAGGATCGGTATCACATGGCCACCGTTTCGGCATAAATCATCGGTTTTTGTCCTCGATTTATCGCGACGAATGATGCAGTACGAGGCGAAACAGAAGACGAACAGGAAGATGACCAAACTGTAATATTAATTATATAGGGTTTTTGGATAACTTGGAGCATGAAATTAAAAAATTTTCTGGTAACGAGAGTGTGAGAGGAGAGCGAGAGCTAGAGATACAGAGAGAGAGAAAGCGAGAGAAAGAGAGTGAAACAGTTACTGACCTAAATTGCCCATAAAACAAGAGAGAATGTGGCGGTTTTGGCGGCAGCATCCGCCTCGGTGTATCGATGAAGAAGCTGGAAATCAAAAAAAAAAACACGTTAAAAAAATAATTTTAAGCACCTTTTTGAAGCGTTCCGTCCACTAGCCGAGGCTACGCACTGATACTCCCCGTACGCATCTCCACTCCCCTCCTGGACGTCGATACAGTGGCGAACGCGGGCTAATGTTTGGTTTTATTGTAGCTTGCTCTCTCTCTCACTTGCTCCTCTCTCTTTCCCTCTCTCTCTCTCTCTCTCTCTCTCTCTCTCTCTCTCTCTCTCTCTTTCTCTCTCTCTTCCTTCTTCTTACCTCCGTCCGAAATCGTGGTTGCTTCCGTCTGGCCCAGCACAATTCCCCCGTGAATCCAGTGTACGGCCGCCACCGGAAGTGCGGAAACCTGAAAATCTGATGATATTTAAAGGGAAACGGTAACATCCATAATCTGAAATTGGCAGAAACCAACCATTTACACTATATAAAAACCGGGACGTGAGCGGACTAACAGAATTGGCCGTCGTTATCCCTTTAAAGGAACTCGCAAGCCAGGGTCTCGAAAACCCAAAAATACTCACCGTGCAGCAGAGTACGGTAGATTGGCCCTGCGCGAGCTCGACCCGCTCCACCTCAGAGTGACCATCCACCATCGGGCCGCACGATTTCTGGAATGGCGCAAATGATCTCTGCTAGTCTGTTTGAGGGCCTTATAGAATTTTCCTAGGGTAATATGGCAGAGATTTTTTAGGAAATGCTTCAGTTTTCTCTCTCACGCTTATTCTCTCACTGTAGCTATCCCTCTTGCTCTCTGTCTCTATCTCTCTCTTTGTCTTTCTCACCGACAGGGACCATTTAGGAGTCGAACCATCGTCGGCCCGGAAATCTAGCAAACACCCCGCAGGAAATTCACTAAATTTCATCGCTGGCCCGCGAACCCCCCGGGAGTTCCCATGGGATTGTCGCGTAGTGGGTGGTGGCCCCTCTGGGGGCTAGTGATATCCTTTCATCGGGCTGACGACCCTTATGACGGGTCAAATTTCGGGGGAGCGGGAGCTTCCACACCACTCCTATGCACAATCTCCAAATGTCCATTAAAGGGGGATGGGAGAGAGAGAGAGAGAGAGAGAGAGAGAGAGAGAGAGAGAGAGAGAGAGAGAGAGAGAGAGAGATCGCGTTCATATCCCCCACGTCCCTCTCAATATATTGGAAACCAACGATGTAATAATAGCCCTTTGGAACCCAAAATCCGGAATATTTGAGAGCGAAACTTTAAAGAGACTGTCAAGGCGAAAATTTGGCTTTCTGACCCCTTTAAACTGTAATAGAAGTAAAATTTAAAAAATAGTCAAAAAGCAGAAATGAGCAAAAATAAAATCCATAACGATGCCTTGCCGGGCCCATGAAAACCTCACTTTCTCGCTCGAATACAGCCGCATCTCGGCCACCGTCTCATTGCAGGGGAGAGTGGACGGATCGACGACGCTTCTAGAATTGGAATTTCAGACAGATAGAGAGAAGGAGCGAGAGTGAGAGCTAGAGAGAGAGAGAGAGAGAGAAGAGAGAGAGAGAGAGAGAGAGCGAAAGCGAGAGAGAAATATGCAAATTACCTCTTATCCGCCCACGATACCCACTCCCAAAGCGAACAGTCGCACTGCAGCGGGTTCGACGCGACGTTGACCTCCTGGAAAACTCATTTCAGTCGGTGTTATCACCATCTGTGAGAAACCGTTGGCAGGCTAGCAGAGAGACTTTGTGGAATCGCCAAAAATAGTTAAAATAAACTTGCAACTTAACCATTTCAGTCTTTTTTGCCCCGCTTACCTTTGCCCAATTGGTTAAGCCCCTAGCCTGTCAGACACAAGGCTTGGGTTCGACCCCAGCCCGGTGCGAAGGGTTTTGCTTTTTGGGTAAGTTGTCCAGAATGGGCGTTCCTTTACTGTGGCTTTAGTAAAAGGTCCAGGAACCTTCAATTTCGTCTATTTTTTTTGTTTACAACCCGCTCAAGGGCCCGCTGGCTGTCTGTAATGCATGACATGCCTTGAGGCTAATCGAGGGGTTGGTGGGCCCTCTTCAATGGATGTGTTTGACAGGGCCCTAAGTGAGCATGGGAAGAGAGAGAGAGAGAGAGAGAGAGAGAGAGAGAGACAGAGACATTCTACCCCGAAGAAAATGTGGGAAAAGCCAGCTGCCCCCCTGGCCATCGATCTCGATTATCCCATCTTGGCACCGTGTCCGGAGCCCCATCTGGCCCTTTTCTAGCCCCTAACCACCCAGCATATGCAAATTAGCACCATAATATGAATCCGGGGGGATCAAAGCCCCCGGTTTTCCCAGGAGGAAACGATCAAAAAGCGGCGCCCGACCTTTCGTCGCGATCGGATCTTGAAGGGCGCCAGGAAGGGAATATTTGGGCTTACTCCTAGGCAAAGCTTTAGGATCAGGCTTAGGCTAAAGGTTGAGGCTTAGTCTCAGACTTTGACTTTGGCTTAGGCTTGGGCATAGACTTACTTAGGCTAAGACTTAAGGTTCGGCTTTAGCTTATGCTTAGGTTTCGGCTTAGGCTAGCTTAGGCGTAAGCTTTGCTCTGAATATTTACTTAATAATTTCACATATTTTAAATGTAAAAACTTTTAAAAGCTATTAAAATATCAAAATTTTGATCGAAAAATTGATATTTTCGTATTTTGTAATGAAAGGTTGTGAAGTTTTTGCGCTTAAAAAAATATTAAAAAAGAGCTTATTGTTAGAAAGACAGAAAAATGATTCCGAAACAAAAACTTTTCCCACCCCCGTTAACGCGAAAGCATCAAAAGTTTTGTTTACCTGTGTTTTGGTCCCTGTTTCAAGTCAAATCTCGCGTTTTCCGATACAGGATCCCCCGCTGGCCATAAAACAATTTTTCCAGGCCCCGAAATTTGCATTTAAGCCTGGGTAAAGCCCACCCCGGCCTAAATGGTGACAAATCGTGCGGTTCTCGGTGCCCCGAGGGCATATCCCCCCTAATAAATCGCTTGAGATTCGAGGCCCACCGCCCAGCCTTCTGCCGCCCTTTAATTGCCCCCCGCCCAGAGCCGCGCAACGGAACCCGGGGGGAGAAATTGACAGTTGACAGCCATGGGCATCTTGGAGCGTTGGCCCTAATCGGAGCTGGGGGTCCAATGGCCCAATTCAGATCTTGAATACCCGCAAATCGGTAGTGTTTTTGTTGTCTTGGGCCCACCAAAAAAGGCCCAATTATGTGGCCCCAGTGCACGTCGTCTCGCCACCTGCCAGTCAAAGCCGTTTGGGACCGGGCAAACGAGGCAGGCTAGCAGGGATTTTTTGGGAAATTTTCGGAGAAACAGGATAGAGAAAGCGATAGAGAGATAAAAAAGAGAGACTGAGCGAGAGAGAGAGAGAGAGAGAGAGAGAGAGAGAGAGAGAGGGAGAAAGAGAAAGGGGAGGGAGCCGGAGGGCGAGCGAATGAAAGCGAGCGAGAGAGAGATAATGAGAGAACGAGAGACAGATGGTTAGCGAGAGAGAGAGAGATAGAGAGTAAGTGAGAGAAAGAGTGTGAGAGAGAGCGAGAGAGGAGAGGAAACGGGTGCCTTTAAAGATCATTTTTAGGCGTTTTGAGAAATATGAGAGGGTAAGCAATCTAGCAAAGATCCTTTGAAAAATTTTGCCCCCATTAGTGGGCGCAGAGGCCCTAGAACCCCTCGAAATTTCCCCAAAAATCTCGCCCCTCGGCTCCCCGCTTAGCGGATCCCATAAAAACAATAGCTATTCCCATTGCAGCCCCCCGAAATGTGGGGGCCGTTATTAGGAAAAAACGGAGGGGCAGCCCCGTCACGCAACCCGGAAAATGTGTCCTCGGCCTGGGAATTGGAGGTGGATAGGGAGGAATCTTCAGCAGATATATAAATAGTAATAACGCGTAATAGCTTAAGTTAAGGTGACTTAATTTTTCTAAAAAGGTCAGAGTTTATAAAATTTTTGCATTTTTAAAACTTTTGATAACTTCCTAGCAATCCAAAAAAACTAAAAAAAGCTGATAAAATGCCTTATATTAATTATTAACAGGTGACAGAGTGAGGTTCCACCGATCTTTTAATAGTATTTTTAGTAAAATTTAAGTATTCAAGTGAAAAGACAACAAAAAAATGTGGGGAAAAATTCAATTAAAATTTTGGTCGAAAATCTTTATGTTTTATATTTTTAATAAAAATTTGTAACGTTTCTGCGTTTGGGAAAAAGAAAAACCATTTTACAAACACGTCTCCATTTAAATTAAAAAAAATCAGCCCCCCCCCCCGATAATGACAAAGTCCCGAATTTCGGCACCGGTGTTCGGCTTTTTTGTATTTCGGCGTTTTGAATATAATTCTATTACATAACATTTACAATTCCTGCTTTTTGACGGTGATTCCCCGGAAAACGAACCTGTAGCTGGGTGAGATGGGTCCATGGCTGGAGCAGGGCGATGCGATTATGGGCGAGCGAGAGGAAATTCAATTGGATGGGCAGAGACCGAGGGTTCACCCTGCAATATATAGACACCATTCCCGGATACGATAATTCCATTTGCCGTTATTAATTTGGGGATGTGTCCGAGGGGGCATCCGTATGTTTCTCCCACAAAATCCATACTTTTAAAGGGCCTGGGAAGCCTCAAGCAAAGAAAACGCTACTTTTCACAAATTCCTATCTATTTCTGGGTTTAGAGGGTTCCAAAAGATGATAATTCAAGGATTTTTCGGGTTTTTAAAAAGCTCTGAAGCTTCTACCCACCTGTAGAGAGCATTATAAGACAGATCCAAATATTTCAGCGACGTCATCGCGGATAGATCGGGCACGAAGCGAAGCCCATTGTGCGCCAGGCTCAGCCAGGTGACGCCGCGGAGACCTGGAAATTGAGAGGGTACGAGAGAAAGAGAGAAAGAGAGAGAGAGAGAGAGAGAGAGAGAGAGAGAAAAGAGGCAGGAGAGAGAGGAAAGAGGGGACGGAAAGCGAGACCGCGGGAGGCGTTGGCTGGAGAGAGAGAGAGAGAGAGAGTAATAGCAAAAGAGGGAGAGCGAGCATTAGAACGAGATATTCCGATACCTTTCTGAATTACGAAGCTGGCAATCGAGTTGTGGGAGAGGTCGAGCTTTTGCAGGGCGGTCAGGCTCGAGAAGGCGCTCGCCGCAAAACGCTCAATCTGGCAGTACTGTAGGGACAGCTCTTGGATTGGGTCGTAGGTGCCGGGGAAGCTGGAAAGGTGAGATTTTGGGTGAAATTTCTCATCATCAATGGGTTCTTCCTAAAAATGTGGTTTTTCTCGAGATTGCACGGGATTCGGCCTAAGCTTAAGCCCAAGCCCGAGCCGAAGCCTAAGCCTAAGCTCGCATTTTTTAGAAGCTTGCCAGTTTCTCAAAGTTATTAATCGCAAATTACATTGCCTTTCCAAGCCCTTTAAACTACCCGACCCGATAGAACCCCGAAAATAGGCGCGCGGGGCCGCATTCCCATGGTGGAGGGCCGGGTTGAATGGTGCCGGCTGCTGAATATTTTAGCGAGCGGTCGCCGCCGTTTTGGGGCACAACCACAGGTGGATTCCATGGATAATTTCAATGGTGGAAATGCTAGGCCTACGCTGAATTTCTCCGGGCATTAAAGAATGCTTTTTGAGCCGCGAAAGGGGTCGGCTATCCTAGTCTATCTATCAAGGGCTTACCTCTCAATGTACGGTATCGAGTTGTTGAATAGGTGCACGCGAATGACGTCTGCGGGTACGGGCGGGAGAGATGTTAATGAGGTTGAAATACATTCTAGAGAAGGTCGATTCGAGGCCGAGAAGCGACGGCACGGCTCGGCGACGATGCTATGGTAGATGGCAAGCGGCAGGATCAGACGTAAGAGATATTCGGTTATAAAGTGCCCTTTCATCGCTCCATTTCGCTGCGAAAAAACTAGCTGAAAAGGTTTAGAAAGTCTACAAAACAATAAATATAAAAATGTTATTAAAGATATTGAAAACCAAATAAATTAATTTAGGAAATGAGCTCACTAATGTGCGAAAAAACCCGATAACTTGCAAAACCCTGAAAAAATGCTTTTGAATTTTTAGATAAATTCTTGAATCGTCTAAAATTGTCTTAAAAATAGCTGGCTTTAACAGAAAAATCACGGTATTCCAATTAGCAGAAAGAAAATACAAAACAAGCTTAGATTTTCACAAAAATAATCACTAATTTCTGAAAAAAAAATAAATTTTTTATTTATTTTCATCTATTTAAATTTTGAATTTTCCCGCCTAAAAGTTGCCAAATTTAAAGGAAATTTTTTAAGGGAAACGATAAAATAATGCTGATATAATGTAGATATTTGAAACCAAATTTAAATGTCGGGGGAACCCCCGGCTGACGATAAAGGGATGGGGGAAGGGCAAATGAGGGACACAATGCCCCTCCTCTACCCATGGCCCCCTCCCCCTCCACCCTAAAGCCTAAATCCCACCCCTCTCTAGTCCTCAAAACCATTGAAGGGACTCCCCCTCTACCCCCAACCCACTCACTAAACGGATAACTGCCGGATAACTAGCCCTCCGAGTTGTACCCTAGTGCTCGCGAAGCAGTGAATTGGCCTGAAATTTGAATAAATCAAAAATATTTTGAAATCACGCCAATGCTTCGGAAATTCATAAGTCTAACTAGTACTTAAGATAAGCTTAAGTACTAGTTGTTCCTCACAATAATGAAAAAAACGCGAGCAAAACAAATGTTTTCTTGGGTGAAAAATAAATCGTCAGCTTTGCGGTTGCTCATGAGCCCAAGCCTAGGCCTAAGCCTAAACCTAAGCCCAAAGCTAAGCCTAAGCCTAAGCCTAAGCCCAAACTTAACCCTAAGCCTAAGCCAGGCCGAAACCTAAGCCAAGCCTAACCTGAAACCGAAGCCTAAGCCAAGCATAGGCCCAAACTAATCCTAAGCCTCAGCCTAAGCCTAAGCCTAATCTCAAGCCTATTTTGAAACCTAAGCCAACCCTAAGTCGAAGCCTAACCAAACCATAAGCCTAAGCCCAAACCTAAGTCTAACCGACCGGGCGAGTTACGCGTGGTCCTAAACCCTGCACCAGTTAGTACTATTTTTCCTCCTATTTTTCAGGTTCTTTCAGACATACGCCGTCCTTCACGGCAAACATGTACTTGCAGGACATTGCAGGAACCTTGCGAGTTCCCAGCAGCGCTTACTTACACGCACGGACGCGTGTTGATAAGTTATGATTTTAACACTAATGAAATGATAAACCTTATCTAAATACCTTTTATTTACGTCGATCTAAGTTCTGGATTTGATCTCGCCATAAACAGCTATTAAAAAACGACAAACACGACCTATCCCCCGAAAACAGCACGCCATAAAAGGGGGCAACCGGTGCGGGATGTACGCGGCGCGGAGCAAGGTTGTAAAAGCCACCAAAACGACCCGGTTGACCCTCAACGGTCAGCATTTCCGACATCACATCGATTGTATTCCATTCACCCTCAATTTCCGTTGTATTTTTCAAAACATTTTTTACAATTTCCAGCCCTTCCAGCCCGTTTTGCTAGATGTCGCTCCGCGGTACCGTAATACGGCCACGATTCCTGTGGGTGGATGGCCGTTTCGAAGAAGGTCAGGCTGTTGCGATCGATTCGGCGGGGAATATCGAGCGGGTATGTCTCAATTTTAAGTGGATCTAGTAATTTCTAACATTTTTAGTAGGATTTTTAATCCCATTTTTAAACGTTTTTAAGAGCGATTTTTCTAAAGTTATACAACGTATTTGTAACGTGATTATGTACGTTTTTGTCAGCTCGATTACGTTTAATCTTACAGCTCGGACGCGACGTCCACCCGGTCGACGGCCAGAAGTTGGTAGAGTGGCCGACGCTTGTAGGTGAAAAGCAAAGATTTCAAGTCGGTGTGGCTTTAGGCCCTCCTCCCCGGCTTCATCAACACCCACTCGCACGCATTCCATCGTCATTTGCGAGGACGATCGGAAATCGGTGAGGTTTTAAAGGGACCGGGAAGAACAAGCGCGTTGCGGAAGCGCTGCGTGTTGTTTAGATCTGACATTTGCCCCGGTAAAAGACGCAACGCCCCCGTGACGGGCCGTTCAGGTACTCAAAAGATGCTCTTGAACGCGCTGCGGTTGCATTGCATGTTGTGCGAGAACACGAAGAAACTGCCTGAGCCGAGATGAGCCGTCACGCGCCCAGGACGCAACGCGACGGCGCCACGTTCAGGGCTGCTATCGGTGTTCCTTTAAAAGAACGGCGGCTCGTTATACGTTCGGCATTCCACGCGCGTCGCGGGCGCGCTGCGTTTCGCGGATAATGAGACACGCGACAGCAACTCACTACACAAACCAACATTTAGGAAATGAGGGCGGGGACACGTTCTGGCGCTGGCGCGACAACATGTACAACCTGGTCGACGACGTCGATTGGGATGGCATGAAGAAGGTATTTTTAAGCTGTGGTTTTTGCAGTTTTTAGTGCAGGGGCAGACTAGCGGGGTTGCCTTGGACGCTACAGACCTCCAAAAATGCGCAAATTCTAGCTCTGCCTTGCCACGTTCCGCGAAATGATCCAAGCGGGCATCACGACGGTTGGCGAGTTCCACTACGTGCACCACGGCAGTGGAAGGTGGGCGGAGTAGCGTAGCGGAATCAGATGCTAAGATTTGACCTGGACTCGGCGGTACTTGCGGCGGCCAAAGAAGCCGGGATCAGGATCTGCCTTCTCACTACACTGTACGAGCAAGCCGGCTTTGATGCCCCCGAGCCGCACGTCATCCAGAAAAAGCGGTGAGCATGGAGATTCACAAAATTTATAATGTATCATCTATTTTTGATTTTGCAGTTTTTACCTGCTAATAAAAGATAATTTATTCTGACAGTGTTTTTAGTAGTTTTTGAATGCAAGAAGTTTTGTTTACAAAATTTTCAATCTGCTTTTCATACTATTATTGTTGCAGCTTCATCAGCACCTACGACGACTTCATCAAGCACGCCGATGGGCTCCGAAAGCTAGAAGATGAAACGACGACCATTGGCGTGGCCGGTAGTTCCGCTTTTCAATGGCAAAAAGCAAAAATATTTACTTTAAACATTTAAAAACTAAAACAAAACAAGAAATTCTATTTAAATTTACTCAAATTAATCTAGTTTTAATTAGTTAATCTTTAATACATTGAGAAAACCACTTTCTTCAGCGCACTCGGCGCGCGCCGTCCCGTTCGCGCACATCGGCGACCTTTGGCAGTGGGCCGAGCAGCAGCAGCTCCCCTTCCACATCCATCTCGAGGAACAACCGAAGGAGCTGGCCGATTGCCAGAAATTTATGGTAATTCGCGTCCTTTCCCTCGTCGTTACGTCTATAAATTTCTAGAACTTGGCGCAGACGCCGGTGGACGTCATCCTGGAGAGGATCAGGCCGGGGGCCCTATTCACCGGTGTTCACAATACGTGAGGAAAGATCAGGAAAATTTTATACTATCTTTATCCAGTTATACCACGGCTGAAAACATGGAAAAGCTGGCGGAGCTTGGCGCAAATGTTAGCGTGTGCCCTTGCACTGAAGGTACGGAAAAAACATGTCAATATTTTTCTAACACCGGACCAAACTCGTTCCTTACGATCCGAAATTTCCAATATAAATCGAGAAAGTGTTTCTAGATCTTTTTTACTAACACTCACGTAAAAATAGTTTTGTTTTGTTCAAAATGGCCGCTTTCACGCAAAATTAAGCTTTTGGACATTTTTCTAAGGGTTCTAAGGAGTTTTTCCTCTTGAAATTTCGCTAATTTTATAAAAAACACTATTAAAATACTTTCTATTAAGTTAATAGGTATTTCCTGATTTTTAAGAAAATTCAGTTTCTCCCCCGAATATCGCAATAGCTTCAATTTTCGGCTTACGAATTTCCACTACGTAAAAATTCAAACCCTAGGCTACCTCGGAGACGGCATTCCGGCCATCTCTTCCAACACCCATCTCTCATTCGGCACCGATTGCAACAATCGAATCTGTTTCATAGAAGAGCTGCGATGGGCGGCATTCACTCAACATGTCAGTATAACTACTACTTACTTCTGTGCCATACTAAACAATATTATAAACATTTTAGGCGAAACACAACTCGCGCAACATCGCCGGGCTATCGGGTAAGTCGGCGGGTTCATCGTAATTTTATGCAGCCTTCCTTAAAACCTTCAGAATTACCCCATTTTAGCTGAACGTCTCCTGAAGCATGCCACCGTGGGTGGGGCCCGTTCGCTGAACCTCTCGAAGGTGTGCGGGTCTTTTGAGGTAGGTACACCTAACGCTAAAGTTTACCTAAAGTACAGGTTGGAAAATCGTTCGACTGCGTGGCTTTTGATGCTGCTAGCCCAGTAATCGCTGGTTTGAACAAAGATGAACTAGCCGATGGGTGAGTAGACAGACTTCAAGAAGTTCATAACCCATAGTATCCGATGTTTCTAGTATCAAAACAAATAAGTTTGACTAAAGTATTTTTTTATGGCTCGTAATCGGAAAAACTTCGCGAAGTTTCATAGAAAAGAAGAACAAATTTTCTAAAAAAATGAATTTTTTAAAGGTTTTCCGTGTTTACTAAATAGTTCCACTTGAAACATAGCTAAATTTACTTACTACGTCACATTATGGTTACCACGGTACTTACAGGACCTTCGACCTATAGTAAAGCTCGTTTCAACATGAAAATAATCGAACGACCAATGGCAACCCATTCCAGCATCGTCTTCGGTTGCGGCAATCGAGAAATCGCCAAGGTTGCCGTCCAAGGCCTCATCCGCCACGAAAAGCCTTGAACCCATGGGGCACAAAATTTTATCGCGAATTTTCAAAGATCAACTAGAGTAAAAGGGTGGCAGGTGCACATTGTCTGCGTAGGGGACCCGAAGAATGAGAAAGAAGGAACAGGGTTGGGACGATGAGGCGACGAACAGTGAGGAAGTGAAGGAGATGATGAGATCACACACAAAAACTCAACACGAACCTCTCATCCACCTGCTCACAACGCTCCCGGAAATCGTGTAAAACTCGTAATCAAAAAACCGACGATTGGCTGGAAAAGCACTGGGGGCGGACCGGGGGCGAAAAATCAAAAGGCACAGCAAAATTTGAGGATGAGGTGGGGGGTGGATGTAGAAAACGGCGTTTGACATTAATCGTCGAGCTCGGCCATGTCGACATCGGAACCGTCAGATTCGTCTCCATTATCAAGGGACCAGCGGGCGTCGCGCTCGGCCGTCAGGCGTTTGTGGCTAATGCGCTAAAAAAACGAAACCATATTTTAATGCGCAAAACTATTGCCCAAAATTATCCTTGGGGTCCAATTTTGCTGCTATAACATGGAGAAAGCGTCTCACTACCGTTTTTTTTTGGAAAACATAGATTTTTCTATCAAAAGCTCAGATTGTCCACATTTTCCTAGGTTCGAAACCTCGTTCACATGAAATATAACTAATTTTATCAAAAAAATATACATACGATTACATTACCAGGCATACCTGATTTTGCCAGATAAAGGAAGCCGCCAATTTTGCCAAAACTCCAAAAAATTGACCACGTACCATACGACTCGGAATCTTGCGTCTTGATTTGCGATAAACGGAGTTGTATCCGCCGCGTAGCTGCCGATAGGTGCGGCTAAACACATATTTCTCGAGAAAATGCAAAAAAACTCACAATGAGAGGACCTGCATGCGACGAAAGTATCTGGAGACAGCCCCTCGGATGAACGGCGACTTGTGCTGCGGGTCGTGCGGCTCCCTTTTCTTCCTGGAAATATTAGAATATCGAAAGGAATTATCTTACTTTTTACGCAAGCGCCACTTCGCGGGTGTGCAGTCCCCGGTCGGCTTCTTGTGTGGACGCTTCGGCGCAGAATCGACAGATCGGCGCGGTCGGTCGTTCGTTTCGACGCTGGACGTGGAGGTCAGCCGTGCACGTTCAACGATGGGTGCTGGCGAGACGAATTCGGGCTTCCGGACCTAAATTAAAAATGATCAGTGCATAGCGGAGCATTTTTTACAACCGATATGAAAGCGCTCAACGCTGAAATTCATATGATACAAATTCCATACCGGGGCTTGGGGCGAGACCAACTTGCAGCGCGTTGACCTTCTTGCTGCCGCCTTGCGCACCTGTCCGTCTTTCGCAGGGGTCGAGCTTGTCGACGGCTAAAGTAAAACATGCTTTTTTTAGAGAAAACCTCCTTACCATGTCCTTATTTTCTGGCTTCGCCTCCGCGGCTGCCGCCGCCGCTGCCGCTGCGGCCATGAGAGCTTGAGATTCCCGCTTTCGAAGCTGCCGTTCTTTCTCAACAATAAGCCTAAGAGCAGCATTGGTGAAAAGTCAAAGTAACCCACTTCTTCCTGAGCATAACGCGCCGCAAAGTGTATGGCAGGTTATATGCATATTCCTAAAAAGAGGAAATCTCAAGCTCAAAAGAGGTTATTAATACCCAGCAGATCCGGCGCACCGATTCGGTGGTGGTAAATTCGACCCATGCGTGGCCCCTGGGGCGCTTCGGCTGGGTGAATGTCGAAACGATTCTTGCGTCCACTAAAGGAGAATTTAAGAATTCGACCTAAAAACCGACCTGGAATGCGGCGCACTGGTAGCCAGACACGGACGACATTGCCGTATTTACGCAGCTCACGACGCAGCCGGGCAGGATTTGCCGTTGTGGGAAGACGGTCCTGAGACAATTGCTGTTGATAATTTGCGCAAGACTAACCACAAAAATCATTCGGTCGGCCTTCACCGGATAGGTGGGTCGATGGGTGATGGCCCAGTGTCCATCCGCATCACGGCCAACGGTGAAGTGCACGGTGTTTCTGTTGAAACTCATCAAACTCTAAAACAAGGTATCATTACTCAGAAAACACGTACATTATAGGACAGATTCATTATCTCATCCACCGGCAGCTTCAAACAAATGCAAATTTCCGATAGCTTCGCTTCTAAAAAAGGATTAGAGAACCCCGAATGATAAAACCTGGCGTCCCCTCGCTGTCGAGACGGTGGAAAAGATGGCCGATCGGCGATGGGCGTAGAAAGAGGGCTCGTTCGATCTAAATTGAGTAAGTGTAATCAAGTTGTTCCGTGCGTAGAGAGGAGAGAGGTTCATGATTACGATTAGCTGTTACATCCATACAATTTTTTAATAAAGTTAACCCGTTTCTTGTTTTCTATTGCTATACGGATAAATTGATAAAACCAATCAAACCTTCAAGATGGCACTCGCACGGAGTTTGCTGTGGCGTGGCCGCTTACGCCTCTTCTTCGGAGGGGCAGCCCGTTTCAACTGGCCGCTTTCAACTCGCATCTGAAAACTTGCTTTTATCGCTATGAGATGCTTAATCTTTTCTACAACCTTTATCTGATTTCCCTTGTAAGAGGCTCCTGATAACAAAAGCAAATAGCGAGTAATTTTCATATTCAAATTGTTTAAAAGTACTAATTTATTTTTAATTAATACTTCGAAATTTTAATAATTGTTGAAAAATATCAAAATTTAAATGCCTATTCAAAAACTCCAAAAGCCAGATTGTAACGTAATAAAACAAAAGGATTGTGCAAATCCTCTGTTACCGAAAAATCTATCAAAAAAAAAAGCCGAGACAGCTGCGCCACAAAATAATACGTCCTAAGAAACCGAAAGCCTCAATAATAACCGTGTAAAGTCATAAATTCTTTATTGCATATCATCATCGGGGGTAACGTCAAATACAAATTGACAAGGTTGAAGCACCACAGAAAACAGGAGGCTACATCGGTGGCGGGTTTGGCTCAATTGGTTATCACAAGCGAAATGACGAGGGATATTCACATGGGGGACCCGAGAAAGGAAAGGAATAAATTATAGCCGAAAAGGTTATCACAGATGCAATTAATTATGTATGTTGGATACCGCTCTGGGCGGACGTGCAGGTAATACAGACGCGCTCTTGCTCGTCGCTGGTGACACGGACGCAGCGTCGACAAAATATCTGCAAGAATCAGCTATTTTTCGCGCAAAAAACCCCGTACCTTTCCACAACGATAACAATGCATGCGCCGCTCCCCGCGCGAGTTGAATTCGAAGCCGCAATTCGGGGAAGCACAGGCAGAAGCATCACGCTCCGAGGTCCATCGGAGTGCGACTGGTTGCAGCAGGCCCTCGCAGTAGCCGCTCTCCTCGCCAAAGCCGCACAGGGAGTAGCTGAGCTGAAAAGAAGAACGTATAAGAAGGTAAAAAAAGCTGAATAAAAGAAACAAAACTACTATGGACATCAAGAAAATTGAAACCTTGATCGAAAAAACTCTTTTGGCGGAAAAATAGATGTTATTGGTCTTTTTAATCAATTTTTTTCGCGTTTAGGGCATTTTTTAAAAACCCGGATTCTAAGGAAGCAAAAATTCGTGGCTCACCGGACTTTGCGCGCCATCCGCGCCCTCATTTCCGCTACTCGACCCATGGCCACTGTCCACCATCCCGATAGCGGCGCCCTTGCCGAGTTGCTGCTTCAGCTCGGCCAGCTTCTACAAAAAAGAGTTCGGTCCAAAAAATTACGCTAACATTTCTCAACTGCGCCACATGCGCCTCCAAGATTCCGACGTGCTCCATGGAAGACATTGTTGAGCTTTGAATGTCCTAAAACTTGGTAAGGGAAAGAGAGTTAGAAAATACCTCGCGCGGCAAGATACCGTCGTCGAATCGATTGTACAGCCCCTGCCATACTGAAAACGAGGCGGCACGCGTGTCGATGTCGATCAGATTGTCGTAGAGCGTCGCCTGGAATGAAAAAGGCATAACGCTACTAAATAAACCACACTTACATCATAAAACGGGTTCAAGAAGTCGTCCTGCCGGGAATCGAGATATGTCCAGAGAGACTTCGTCCTTGTCGAAAGTGAGAGGCTCTAAAACATGGTAAAATAACAGTAAACAGTTGCGAATCGTACCTTACGATCGCAATCACAGTTTCCCAGGAACGTCCCAAATTGACAGGAGTAGGCGTGTTCGTGAAGCTAAAAAACCGTATTATTTCGGAAAAGACAAGAAACCTCAATCAAAAACCTCTCGTTAAACTCAAAAGCCCTCGGGCGCATCTTCCAAATCTGCCACACGCAGTCCAGCCACTGAGAAAAGACGGGAGATACCTGAAAAGCAGATAAATCTTCAGACTTTCAGGTCTTTTAAATTTTTGATGTATATAAATAAAAAATAAAATAAAAGCTACCTCTTTTGGCGCTTCATCATTGTTGGCACCGACATGGGCGCACCGGTCGTCAAATTTATGACCAAAGCCCAGCCAGTCCTTCTCGATCAAGACCTAAAAACCTTTGTAGAAAAGAAGCCCCATAAAGCCTAACCTCAAATCCGTGGATTGTCCGGTAGAATGGGTCGACGAGAAGCTCGGCAATGCTGACCTAGAACTGTTTTTGCACAATCTTTGGGCGCTAGATACCGTTTGCGATGTCCGGTCCCAGCCATCGGAGCAGTGTACAACGCAGGAAATACCTAAATAAAAATTACCATAAAAAATGTTAATAACTTACCTTTCGACAAGCTTTCCGCGATAAACATTGAGCATTCAACGACCGCTCTCACGTGCTTCAACCACCCGGATGATTCGACGGCTTTCAGGTATTCGTTGACGTTTCGGCATTTACCGCATGCTGAAAAAAGGAATTTGTATATACGAAAAAGGTTACATTCAAAAAGCTTGTTTTTAGGGTTCCCGAAAATTTACCATCAACCAATTTCTGCTGTGATGTCCGCATTACGTGTATGTTCTCGACGTCGAAGAATTGGTGCTTGATGTTGGAATAGTTGCGCTCGTCCTCGTAGCCTTTGCCCTGTACCTTGTTCACCATCGCATTCACCTGAAACAGGGTAATCCAGGAAAATCTCAAAAACGATACCATTGGCCGGGTGTCGATTAGGTAGACAATGTCGTGTTGTGGGTTTGCCTTTCCTATCAGCGACATCAGCGTCTCGTCCTCCATGCAGCGGGCCCGGAAGCCGGAATTCGGTTGTGCACACCTAAAAATAATAAAAATTAAATTAATGCATCGCCTTTACCTAGACAAAGCGGCGCCATTTTTCTTGTAAAAATAAGTGAGTGCTGGCAGGCGGCCTCGACTCCTGAAGCTGATCGCCCCCTCTAGCACGGGTGTTCGAGCAGCGGTAGGGACCCAGAGCCTCTCAGGGTATGTATCACACGACTAAATAAAAATAAATATCAAAATGGAAGGAACAACCTTGTAGCCCTTATTTATGTCGGTCTGTGTCCAGCTGGAGGAGACGCCCTGCCTTGAAAATTCCGAAGCCCAATCCAAACGATTCCAGCCACGTACGTCTTCGCTCAAGCCACGGTTTTCAAACGCGAACACGTTCTCGATGTTAGCTAAGGTTATAAAAATAGAGTTTTCGAATAAAAACTTACTTGGTTTGCAGACTTTCAAAAGTGTCTCGTAGAGTTCTTGGCAGGCCTTGTCCCGGTTGATCAACAAGTGGATCTGTTAAAAATTCAGTGGCTCGGATAAAATCGCCTCACCTGCATGAAATGCTTACACCGAATCACTAGTGGGCAGCCAGCCGCAGAAAGTGCACCCCGTTCCACGGCACCGATCAAGCCATTCGCCAACTGAAAAAAAATCGGTTTCTTTCTTCTTCTATAAACGAGTTTTAGTTGTAAAAAGTTAAAACACACCCAAATTTCCCTGGTTCCTGTCTCGGCCTTGAAGATGACGTGGCTTGAAGTTGCGTGTATCGTGCCGACAATGTTCTGCTCGCCACCCCATCTGTCGACGAGCTGCACTTTTTCGACCTGAAGGAGACAAATAGCATTCGGATAAAATTCAGAGGAAGACCCCCGCTTCCTCAAGCTACGGACCTTCGAAAAACCTTCCGGCGGTTCCTCCTTCCCCGAAACCACATCGTAAATTTTGGATATCTTATCCTTGAGGAGACTGCCAGCCACCGTGATATCCTCGGTGTACCCCGGATGAGCAAAGATATTCGTTGGCCGCAGCCGTACCGTCTCATTACCGTACATTTGACGGTTCATGAGCTCCGGGGCTAAAGCGTGGAATTCGGAAATAAGAGTGGGCCACGGAAGAAAAGATGTGAAAACCGAAATGCATGCCTTCGGGGAGGCGATGGAGAAAATGCTATTGGCCGTGTGGGGCGAGAGGGGCACGCAACCAGGCCCAAAAAGCCGAGACCCCCCAAACCTATTTGGGCCACAATCAGCCGAGAACAACTGGCCCGCGAAATGGGAGGGGCTCGCAGCAAGCTGCTAGCCATAGCCCCCAGAAAGAATCCGGAATTGCCCCAAAATCCTCGAGCGCATGAAATTGTTGAAACGGCCCAAAAATCGCATGGCGGCCTCCGGAACGAAGCTAGGCTGCAAATGAAAATGAGATGGGAAAGGGCGCATCGAATTTCGGTTCCCCCACCCATCCGCATTCCGGCGGATTGAATTGCTGGGGTGGGGCAAGATTGGGCGAAAAGTGGAATGGCAATGGGAATAAGAACAATAAGAAAACCTGAAAAATTGGTGGGCAGATCGGAGCTAATTCATATACAAAGCTGTGCTGGATCAGAAAGCTCACGTTGCGCATGCAGAGAAACCCCTAAAAAACGCCAGAGTCTTCCAAGGCGCCCCCGAAGAAAAATGTCTGGCCGCCGAGCCAAGACAAATGGATGTGCTTAAAAAATAAAGTCTCCGGCCCCCCAGCCGGAGAGGGTAATCAATATGCGAAAAAGCGGGAGAGTACCTAGGGAGGCGGTGGGGTGGAAGCGCAGTGCCCGAATGGGCCCCTAGCGGTCCCTAGGAGAGGCCCCAAAAGGGGCCCAGACGAAAAAGAACTATAGCTAGGCTAGCGGCCCTGGGCGAAGGGCCACTCACGCTGGCCAAAATTGTGGGAGACAAGGGCCCGGTGGCTCGGGTTTGAGGGAGATTGAGGTTGACAGCGGGGATCTGGTTTTGGTATATTGGCCTTTCTCACGAAATTGGATTTTTTTTATCTGAAAGCGCCTCAACAGCGACGGCGAAGAAGTGAAAAGAAATTAGCTTAGCTCAAGAATGGCTGGCTGTAATACGAGTTCGGCTTTTTTTTTGATAAAAATTATTGTCAAACAAAAAGCTAAAGCGGCCCTAGTAGAGGTGGATGATGGCTTTCAAAGGAAATCTCGGCTGCTACGCTCACGTTATAATCCTAAATGCTGTGGCAGTCTCCTCAAATTTACTTTCGAAAGCTTTTTGTTTTCAACAAAGAAAAACCATTACCCTTGCCGTCAGGATCTTCTTGTTGTTGTAGTGCATGACGGGATGAGGCTGATGGTGATGCCGAAGATGCGTGGGGTCGGCGCCTGAAAATTCGGGAATGGCCCCATTGAGCTAAAAAGACACGGGAATCGAGATTGAGGGGAATAGCTGCAAATGGAATGTCAGATAAACGTTAAGGGCTCTCGTATAAAGTTGGTGTAAGTTTTCGAGTGTTCCAGAATCGACTTCAGAGTTAATCTTCTAAAAGCGTCAGAAATAATAGCCATAAAACACTCCAGCGGCCCTTGAAAGCACCCTGAAAACTGGATTCGCTGAAAAAGCTATAAAAGCTTTCTGATTTCGTTAAACCTACGAAAACTAGCTCCGGAGGCGCCTGTAAACAATTTTGGAAAGCTTAGAAAGACGATTTCGATGTTCATCCGTCCTAATTCAAAAGAATCAAGGGAAGCGGACCCCAGAAAACAGCACCTACTCAACTAGCCGCTCTAAAGCATAATATTACCGGCTAATCGGCTTGTTTTCCGGGGGCCAGGGGGCAGCAAAAGCCGGCGGGCCGAGAGATGAATGGAGCCTTGTAATGGCAGTATTGAATGCGCCCCCAAAGGAATAGAAGATGGGCGTCCATTGAAATGCTGTGGAAGCCACCGCCCCGGCCGGCCGACCCCCCAAAAAAGCCTGACCCCCAACGCGCCCACTTCAGCAAAAGCCCAAATGCTTCAATTTCCGGGCGGAAAATGGCTGAAAACTAAAGGGATTCGTCGGGAAAATCACGCACAATAAAACCGGGCTAAAAACCGGTTTTAGTCTAGATTTCCGCTCAGAGCGTACGTTGAAATGTATCGGAATTTTGTCCAAAAACGGCAGTTGGCAAATGCCGCGCGATATAGTAACAAAAATTAAGTTGAGCTGTGTAATAAATAAATTGCAAGATTAATTTGAGGAACAAAAGCTTGCTTTATAGCTAAAAAAAAGATCTTTTGCTGTTTTGAGGTTTAAATACTCCTTGCAAAAAGCGTGCAAACGCACGATTTTTGCTAAATTGACGGGCGGGTTTTTAGCCCTCAAACACACTGATTCGCGGGGGCGCGCAATAAAAGTGACAGCCTTTTAGGTCGCGTAATGCAACTGATTACTCGATGTTGTGTTGCAGGAAAAACTATTCAAAGTGTAACAAAATATATTGCTTTGAACATTCGTTTATTTTATAGACAATATTAATGTACAAACGTTCGCAAGGGCTCATAGGGCTCAACGTATCAAATCCAATAATTTGGAAAGAGCATCTGCTGGGAGACAATATTGCTCTGTGGAAACCGAGCCAAGGTAGTCCTGCTGTTCAGAATTTTCAGCTGCTGTCGGATAGCGTAAGAGCACCGCTAAAAATATGCTTACAGGAAGAGTTCGTCTTAGGAAGAAAGAAGCAGCTTTAGTTTTGGATTGTTTTCGTCTATAAGTTGAAAACCTCCCAGTATCTCAGCACAACCATGTTCGCTTCATAATTGTGCCTTCTAAACCTATGTGTACATAGGAAGCCCTAGGGTTTTTCATCGTGTATCGCTTGGAAGTGTGGCCTGAGAGCATCTTGAGCGGATACCCCAAAGTCATAATTCATCACCGATTTAGAATTCCTCTGTCAATCCTGATCACCCTGTGTGATGCGCCTTGCTTCTCAAATTATTTGATTTTATACGTACAAGCAAGGAAGGATTGGCGCCCGTTGTAAGAGTCAACCTGGGCAATATACAATGAGCCCTTGCGAACGTTTGTACATTAATATTGTCTATAAAATAAACTAATGTTCAAAGCAAATATTTGTTACACTTTGAATAGTTTTTCATGCAACAAAACATCGAGTAATCAGTGCATTACGCGACCTAAAGGCTGTCACTTTTATTGCGCGCCCCCGCGAATCAGTGTGTTTGAGGGCTAAAAACCTGCCCGTCTAAATTGCCATAAATTTCAAAAATAATAAATACAAGCTGAAAAATTAGTCGTAATCTAGCTATCCGGTGAAAAGGTAGGTTGAAATTTAGCGGAATTTCGTAAAGTACATACCAGTTTTGTTATATTTTGGCTCGTCTATTTTGTTAAAAAAGGGAAAAATACAAAAATTTCCGGGGGAAAATGGCTTGCCGACAAAATTGGAAGTGTAGTGTACATTTCCGGGGGAAATGTAAGGTCCGTTTTACACGATTTTCCGTTCAAAGCGTACGTTGAAATGTAGCTGAACTCGGTTTGGAAAGGGCGGACCGTTGCGCGGGGGAAAGGGCGGGCCTGGAGATGTGCCTGCCCCCAGGCCCGCGCAATCTGGAAAGGGCGGACCGTTGCGCGGCTCTCCGGATTGCGCGGGCCTGAGGGCGGCTCTCGCGGCAAACGGGCCGTAGCTAGGCTTTTCCCTCTTCAAAACGTTTAAATTACGTATTAAACCTGCTTTTTAGCAGGTTCTATTGCTCGGGACCGATGCAAGGAAGTGTGATGACTCTTTTGTATTTATATCACGACACTGCATTAGAAAATCACAATAGAACATGGAAAAAATATGGGTATTTCATCCTGCGAGTAGAGTTGCCCGGTGAAGATGTCCTAGAGTTCGCTTACAGGCATCTTCCTTAAATAGCTTGGGTTTGGTCTGGTTTAAATTATATTGTATTTAATTATAAATTAAACATTATTATAAATTTGCGAATAGATGCCAAGGCAGAATATGTTAGTCGATTTATAGACTAAATTTTAGACCTACTTTCGTCGTGACGAGAACCCCTGAAAAGCATATTTTCTTATTGGATTCGAATAAGATCTTGACAGAACTTACCATCAGACGAACGACCTCCTGATAATGCAAAAGCACCCAACAATTTATATTTCACGTACCTGTTTCTCGCGCCAATATCCTGTCGATCCATCGCACTCCCGGGCCATAGAACCATCGCTCATTCCTAAATTCACAAAAAACTCAATAATTTCAAACAGCTTACCGCGATCGAAATTTGCAGCTCGCCCTTGCCCAGGATCATCAATCCTAAACGCGACAGCGTTTCCAGAAAACCCATCTTACTGAAGCAAAAATAGCTTAAAAAACTAACCAGAAATGCGCATCGTGCTGCGGCCCAGGTTGCTCGTTGCGGAAATGGCGCGGCGGGGCCGGTCTGCCGCTTGTGATCGCTTCTATTTCTAAAAACTAAAACAAAAGTACATTTACAACAATAAAAACTCACTTTTATCGGTCTTTTCAGCCCCATCCGAACATGCACAAGGTTGTAGACGTGTAATGTATTTGGAAACTAACCTCGCAGCACATAGAAGTTGTTACGCTGATCATACCAGATTGAAGAATCATCAAGTAGCATTATAACTAATCGCTATACGAAGTTAGATAAAAATGAAGTGAATTGCCTAAGTTTTAGTTCCTGTACTTTCATGCACTCTGGACGAAATGCGCGGCCCGCGCTTTCTCCGTCCGCGGCCGATTGCGCGGCTGAAAGGACCGCGCATTGGCTGAGAGCCGCCTTCAGGCCCGCGCAATCCCGAGAGCCGCGCAACGGTCCGCCCTTTCCAAACCGAGAATCTGACCCAAAATAGCCACACAAATCCTTGTTATTTTTTGGCTTGTCAATTCCCTGTCAACAATCATTTATGCATGTCCTTTGTCTCGGGCAAATGGGAAGTCACGACGGCGGCCAACAAAAGCAACAACCCGAATGCCGCATAGGTGCCACCGGGGAACAGCAGGCCCTGTGATTTTCAGTGAATTCTAATTTTAACGTCAAAAAGCTTACAAAAGCCGGCGCGTGCGGCGCCGCAATGGCTCCGATATTGGAGAGTGAGCAGCAAATGCCGAGCGCAAAGGAGCGGCAGCTCATCTGGAAACTTGGGTTGTCGCTCGTGTAAGCTGGGGCTTAGTAGGGGTTTCTTCATCATTTGTCATTTTGCTCTTGCGAGGCCTCTAAGGATCCGGCTTTTCTAATATAGACAGCGGAAGTATTTCTTAACAATTTTTACTATTCTAACCGTAAAAACTTAACAAATTTTCATGAAAAAATACGAAAATATCGGTTTTTCGCCGAAAAATGGACGATTTGCAACGAAAACCGTATTTCTATTGTTTTTTCACTTGAAAAATGGATAAATTTTACTAAAACCACAACTAAAATACTTATTAATGCATTACTAGGTTTTTCCGGACTTATAGGCAAAATTGGCTTCCCCGCGTTACTGCAAAAGAACCAGAATTTCAAGCTCTATCGAATCTGCTATACCTCTAAATCGCCTAACGCCTTCTTGTTCTTTTTTGGGCAGTTTTGGTCTCAAAACCCACCGGAAACATTTCCGACCCGTAGATGAACAGACACATAAAGCCGGCGCTGGCCCCAAATTTGGCCAGCAGCCAAAATATGAGGAACATCCAGGTGTCGTCTGAATTTTAGGCAACTTGAAGCTTGGCTAGATTTTTACCCATAGCAAAGTAGGCCAGGATGCACATCCCCTGGCAGGTTACCGCGAAAAACACGCAAATCCCGATCACCGTCAGCCGTCGGCCGATTCGGTCGAAGAGGAGGGGCGACACAAAATAGGACGGGATCTCCGCGATTCCGGACAGCAAAAATTGAACGTGGTTGTTGCCGACTTTTAGCACCGTGCTTTCAAAGGATAGCCCGTTGTATGCAAAGCAGGTGGCTGTCCTGGAAAGTTCATGGTTTTTCGGTACTGGTGTGTCAGCGGGGGGGGAGGGGGTTTGCAGGCGGACAACTCATTTTTGTTCTTCCGCCTACCTGTTGCCAATATATAGTGTATTTTTATCGCGTTTTTGTTAGTCTTTGCCTGATTTTGGCTTGTTTTTCCACCTACGTGGAAACAATCTATTCTTTTTCGTAGTTTTTCTTCTTTTTATTGCTAGAAAGTTATAAAACATTTTTAATTTTTGAAAATGCTAAAATTTTGACATTTTTGGTCAGTTTTCAAATAGCTAAAAGTACAGAAGTCCAAAAAGAGAAAATTTCATCCCTAAAACATACAAAAATGCATCTAAGCAAAATTGC